GGGGATTAGTGGCTTCATTACTATTATTATGCCATGCAGGTTGACCTCCCCGTTGTCCCCTGTAGTAATCATTATAATTAACTCTTGGTGAAATTTATCACTATGCATTAGTGGCTTCATTACTATCATTGTACCATGCAGGTTGATCGCCACATTGTCCTCTGTAGTAATCATTATAATTAACTCTTGGTGCAATTCATCACAATGCATTAGTGCCTTCATTACTATCATTGTACCATGCAGGTTGATCTCCACATTGTCCTCTGTAGTAATCATTATAATTAAATCTTGGTGAAATTCATCACAATGCATTAGTGGTTTCATTACTATTATTGTACCATGCAGGTTGACCTCCACATTGTCCCCTGTAGTAATCATTATAATTAACTCTTGGTGAAATTCATCATAATGCAGTAATCGATCTGGCTTTATCCTCATACTAATCATCTTTTATTAATATCCCGTAGGCGAAACCTTCCATTTATAAAAAAATAGTATATAATAGTAATATATCATTATTTCATAGTGTATTTTTATCACACATATTAGGTGTACAAAATACTGTAGTACTTTATAGAACTGACCAAATATCAAATAAAAGCAGCTGTAATTGCACAGCTGTTTCCATTACAAGGGTGGGATCTGAGTATGAAATAATGGAAGTTTTTTTATCTCAGGACTATTCACACGGCGCCATTTAGATCCAAGTTGAGCTAGCTAAAGCTTGTGTTATGTGTACTAGACAACTGATAAAAATTTTTTTTTTCGTGAATACATAAATATTACACATACAGAAACAGCCAGACCGACACAGACAATCATACTCATGAATACTAATATTTGTACCGCGCGAGAAATCGAACCCGCAACCATCGTAAGTAAAGCGGTATGTTAAACCGCTAGACAACGGATACCATCAAATAATGGAAGCTGTAAGCGCCGTCTAGTCCCAAGCTAAGCAAAGCTTGTGTTATGGTTACTAGACAACTGATACAAATACATATATATATTTTTTGTAAATTCATGCATAATATACATACCACCACCAAAACACCCAGACCGACATAAACAATTATACTGATAAATACAAATGTTTGTGCGAGAAATCCAACCCGCGTCCATCGAATGTAAAACGATGTGCTTAATCGCTAGATCACCGAGGCCGTCAATTGTAGGATATCGTGTCGTACACCAAAATGTTGTAACAATGGGCGTTGATAAGGCACCACTGCCTACTGACAACAATAGATTGAGCCATCTAAACCAACTGTTTACATAATCGTAGTTAGTAATTCGATAGATTACCTATGTCTGCCTCAATTAACCAACTGTCTAAGCCATAAAGTCAAGAGGCTTATTGAACTTCACAATATTAATTCAAAGCTACAACAGATACAATACAATGAATAATTTATATTTCAACATTGAGTAGATGTTTACAAATTAAACTTGCCAGATATTGATATCTCGTTGATTATCATAATTTATTCATATAAATTATGCTCCGTAAACTGGAACTTGATATGCAAAATGACAGACAGATAAAAGAATGACGAAACAGATATAAAATGCGAAAGTACAAAGTAGTTTGCGTGGGTATATTTGTCTCACCTTATTCTACATGTAAACAGCTTCTTTCGCTATTTAATATAGATAGATAGATAAATTCTTTATTCAACAATTACACATATGGAATCAACAATTGCATACAGGAGATACATTTTATAAATAGTAATAAAGTTTACAAATTAAATAATGCAGAAATATAATATTACAATATAAAATAAAAATGGAGGTGGCTTTATGTGTCGCAATGATGAAGAGGCAACCAACTCAGCATGAAGCTACAGATAAGTCTGCAGCGCTGATATTCTGTTGGCTCCTATAATTAAATACATACATACAGATGCTGTATCTTAATCCACAGATACTAATTAAAAATACAATTAAAAGACAACCTAAATCTAAGTCAACTATAACTAATACAAGAATAAAACCTTTCTAACGTCACGTTTGTTTAAAAATATGCTGAAAATCACTTTCTAACATTTAAAAACGTACAAAAAATCAAATTATACTCATAGATCTAGCTCATCACACTTCATAACTAAAGCTCGGCTATAAAATAAGTACCCAGGCCCACTCCTAACCCGCAGGGCTTTTCAACATTGTTTAGTTATTTAATTAAGGATCAAAAGGTAAACACCCTCAGCTTAGCTTTCAGAGCTTCCTCAGAACTTATTAATTTTCCAAATACAATTAGTTTCATCAAAGTATTTAAGGATTATATGTTTTACTATTTTACTACCTTCATTATATCCGTGGTTTAATTCGCCTAGTTTCTATAACGGAAATGAGTCAGTCTCCTGTTTACAACGTAGGAACATAGCAAAGGATAAAATTAGTATTATATATACTTAAGTGTAAGTTGTATAAAAGTACCGTATTTCTGTCTTCTTACTATTATATGAAGACGGTTTAGGAATCTAAACAAATATAGGCTTCGCTTCTAAAGGCTTGTTATGGGACTTGCTGCATAGTTTCTTCGAATGATCAAGAGTCATACTTCTTACATTCTACATCCATTTCCACTTTGAACATTATTTATTTTTGTGTTATCGAAATAATTTTATAGCCTCAATAATTTTATGTATACAAGTAAATAAAATTTAAACACTTCAATTTTATTTAAAAAACATTTGATTAAAAGTTTGTAATGTTAAAATTAACAGATTTTCACAACATAAAAAAAGTTACCTATCCTACTTATTTGTGGAACTTCCCTGGCAGATAGTTATTGTTATAACTAAGGAAGGAAGGAAAGGAATAAGCTAAGGAATAACTATAGCTACTTTCTATTTATTTTCACGCGGACGAAGTTGCAGGTAACAGTGGCAAATAAAGCATTTACATCTCTCGACGTTTCATATGTTAATTAGTAGGAAATAGTAATCAAAACATAAAAATATCACTTGATAATAATCATTCACACTTTGTTCTTTATATTCGTTTCAATATTAGTTTGATTGAAAATTTAAGTAAGCTTTTTTCATATACTAAAGAGTTATCCTTAAGGTACATTCAAAATAGGTCTCTATTCAAAATAATGCCTCGACATCTCGTCGCCCAAATCTCATCCCCCGAGTATGCTTTATGCATAATTCATAAACACAAATGAAGCCCTATTGCATATACCTACACAGAGAAAGCACCATGAGAGTAGGTAGGTAGTTGGTAGGTAGGTAGGTACTCACTGCTTAGTAAACTTTACAACAAGACTTATCTATTTTAATGTTCTGTATATCTACATATATTATCTACATACCTAATATGAATAAAGTACCGTGTTTGTAATAATTTCACCCTTTGTTTACAAACCTATGTAAAAGAATTCATTACACATTTGGCGCACATACAGTATGTGTAATATTTTGTAAATTTACAATTAAGTTACAGAGTCTCTCTATTAATTTCAAAGTTTTCTATTTTGATAATTCGTTAGTTCTGAATTTTATATAACTATATGTTAAGCATTAAACTTTATTTTTAATTCAAAATACACAAAGGTAAAATAGACAAACTTGCAACTTTAAAATTCTCATAAAGTTATGTATTAATATGCTTAGCAAACAATTATTTACGTTGAAAATTAAGAATAAAATATATCGTTAAAACCGTATCGTTTTCAAAATATAGTACGAAGCAAATACGAGAAAAACATTCGTAAATGCAAGTGGAATTTGTTTACCACACTCGTCAGATGGGTAATATCTATGCGGTATAAGTATCAAGTCGGCAATGAGGCGTTAATGGGTTGTTTTGAAGATAATTTTACAGTAATGTGTTTGTTTGCCTAATATGTAAAGCTTTTACATGTCCAAATACAATATTAGCAAAATGTTAATTTCTCATGTGAATATAATAAGAATAAGAAAATACATTCAATTAATGAAATTAGAAAAAAATAACACCGTTACGATGCTTAGGCCGGATGGGATAGCCCATCCCATCCCATCTGGCTATCCCATCCGGCATAAGCATCGTAACATTATTAGCATTATCAATTAGAAAGAGAAATTAATAATTATAAGTATTTTACTTTATACTTTTGACTACAATTTTCGGATAAGTTAGTCAAAGTTATTTTGATAACAGTATGCATCATATTAATCGCCTTAAGTTGACTTGCTAAGTTTAATTCGATGTCTGATGAGCTAAATATATCACTGTTTTTGTATTATAACAAATCTCTATCACCTGAGCAACACACAAGTTTCTTGCTCATTCTTCTTGTGATGAATCTGCATTCCGAATGAGTGATAGAATCAAATATGACTATTCAAAAGTGCTTGTAATGAATTTATTTGAATAAAGATTATTTCTATTTCTATTTCTATTTCTGAGAATACAGCAGGAACCTGAACTGACACACATTACGTTTATATTGATAATTTTTACATAAATTAAATATATATTTAGATCTGTGCAAATGCGAAGCTTTCAGTATATGGATGGGATATCTACGGAGCAGATTGTCTTAATTACGTATAATTATTTCATATTCTGCTCCTAATATTGTATTTATAATTTGTGTCTGTAACGTGTTTATGCTAGCATCTAGCAACCACATTTCCTACGTCATTAACAGAGGAGGTTGGGCGGCATCAAAATGATTTAATATAAGGATTAATATCAAATAATAAATCCAATGTGTATCATCATCGTCATTACATAGTACAAAATAAAGTCGCTGTCGCTGTCTGTCCTTATGTATGCTTAAATCTTAAATAACGGATTTTGAAGCGGTTTCTTAAATAGATAAAGTGATTCAAGAGGAAGGTTTATATATAATAAATGTACACTCGTTGAAGCCGGAGCGACTAGCTAGCATAAAAGTGATATTTAAAAGAGTTCAAGTTCAAAAGAATTTATTTTAGATCTCATAACTTTAACATAATTAATTAAAATTATACACTGTTTAATAATGCTCGCATAGTTTTTTAAAGTACTCTCAACACTAAAGATTCGTATCCAATTATATCAACGACGTTCGCCTCCAGCGCTTCTCTGAAAATTAGAAAAAGCTTATTCAGTCTGTTTATTATCTAGTAAATAATACACAAGTACATTTTGTTCATTTATAAATATAAAATGTGGGAGTATTTTTTTTAATTATTTAGCTAATATTTAAATATAAGAAAATCTAATATTAGACTGTTTTACCTAATATATCCTTATAATGATTACTTATATACTTCGATTTATATATATATATATATATATTACTATACTACTATTATATTAATACGGTAATAGTAATTAGAGAATATATATAACTAGTAACTCTATTTAAAATTAAAACTACATATACTGTGTATATGTACATGTACTGATATAACGAAGTTTTTTTGTAGACTTACCCAGCTGTTTTCGGTGACTGTATATTGCTCACAACCACTTCTAACTGACCAACAACATTTTCGAAATATGTCAAATCGATAGTATACGATTCATTTCTAAGGTTTACTATTACTACGTAGATCACGTCATTGTGCCATCTGTAATTTAAATTATTTAAATTGGAATTGTGTTATACTTTTTTTATCAACTATAAGATGATAATTATTTGAAGATTATTCGACAATCGAAGTCGAATAATTTTCAAATAATTATTAAAGTAGTTATAATTATATTATATTTTTAATTTTGTATATATACTTTCTTTTTGCTATATAATTGAAGTTAACGATTCTTCTGTAGTATTTGGTAACCGTCGCCTATGTACATCAACTGTAGTATGGATATACCACCATATACCACTCATACGTTGGCAGAATACATTTTATCTGAACAAATGGCATTTAGAGAATTAAGAGATAGGCCTCTTAACCTATAAATCTTTAAAAAAAGATAGCCAACACTTCATTACTATTACATAACCATCACTTAGATACGTAGAGTGGACAGTTGCTTGTTGACAACAACGAAAAACAACTTTGAATGGAATATGTTTATCAATTGATAAAATTATGATATCTGTCAAAATATTCACAAATTTCTTTATATCATGAGCAAATTATCCAAATAGATAGAAATTCTATTGATGTTACATTTAAAAAATGTAATGAATAAAATACCTTAAAAAAAATAATTTGTCACGTTCGTCCAGTTTTTCTACTCGCGCTTCTTTTCAACTGATTTCAATAGCAGAAACTTCTCAAGTCCATTTTATTACAGTTTAACTCAGAACTTTTTACTGAGTGAACCACATTATATATATATAACTGGTATGTGTCATATGGTACCAAATAAATTTAATCAAGAACTAACTAGTAATTTTTGGGTTATATTTACAAAGGCGTATTGATATACATGCCTATGTATATATCGTTATATATTGAAGTTGGTTTTGTGGCCTGTACACGCGTAAATGTATATACCACTGCGTTAACAAAATAATTACATTTTCGTATCTGTATCAGGTTATGGTGCCATCGCCTTATTACACTTATACCATTTTTTATTTCGTAGACATATGGCCCGTGCTCCTATTAGTTTGTTTCTTAATATCATTATGCTAAGGGACTACAAATAAAATTCTTAATCTATGATAACTTAAAATTGAAAATAAACTCAATCAGATAAGATTCATAAATTTAACCCAAGTTAGGAACATATAGTAAATACATAGACAAGAAGATAGAACACTTATACCTTAATAAATGTGTAAACAGATATTTACCTTCTAAATGCAAAAATATCAGAATTAATGGCAACAGATTCGTATCTACCATATCTAAAGGCAGATTCTGTTCGCAACAATGCAAGGGTCTTGTATACGTTAAGATGTGATCTCTCTATCGCTCTTTGTACTTCGACATTCAAAGTTTCATATCCATCAGCAACGGGAAGCCATGTCTTATCTCCGGTAGAAAATCCTGCGGACGAAATAAAAATTATTTCCTGAAGGTCTAAACAGAATATTTGTTTGTCTCTATGTTCTGTTCTTTCTTTATCATCTACCGTACCTGCATTTTTATCAGAATTCCACTGGAATGGCGTTCTCTCTGGGTCTCTGGAAGCAGTCCAGTAATTGATAGGGTCATCTGTGTTGCATCCACTGGGGTCCACGGTATCTTCCCAGCTCACAAATCCATCAACCATACCAATTTCTTCACCCTAATAATATTATCTTGTTAAAATAAATATTTTTTAAGTGACTGCGTTACAATATCAAATAAAAATACCAACCATATACGTAACAGCAATTCCAGGAAGTAGATGTATAATCATATTAATGCCATCAACTAATTCTGGACTAAATCTTGATGCAACTCTGTTATTGTCATGATTGCCAGCCTAAAATAATATTTATAAAAATATATATGATATATTAAATCGTAATATTTAGTTCAATAAATAAATAAATCAGTAATAATGCATACCACCCAGTTCGCAAGTTTGTCGATAGGCTTGAATGTTAAAAATTTATCAAGAGCATATTTTACTTCTGCAGCCGTTGAATCACCATTGACGTCTGTTATAAGTACGAAGTTGAACGGCATCTGAGAACCTTCGCGTTCATCTTTACCAAAGTATCTCATAGTGATTTGTGGACTAGAGTAAGCTTCCGTCATCATAACTCTGCTTACGCCATCTTTTTCTTTAAATTCATCGAGTACTTCCCTCCATTGATACACCATGTCAAAAGTCTCATCTTGGTCAATTGTGTAAATATGCGACAAGTAACTGTAGCTTAACGGATCAGCATTTAAGTCTCCTGATAGTGGCTCATCCGGATATTTTCCACCATATAATTCCTTGTCTACTTCAAACAAATGCGAGATAGCATCTACTCTAAAGCCAGCAACACCTTTTTCTAACCAGAAACGTATGATATTTTTCATTTCTTCAACCACATCAGGATTACGGTAGTTGAGATCAGGTTGACCAATAACAAATTGATGTAAATAATATTTGCCTACTTCTTCTCTGTACTCCCATGCACTCTTACGGAAGACACTATTCTGTTAAAAATTTTATATATAGAAGTAGGTGCATATTAAGAACAAATCTTTGAGGGACTTTTTAGTGAACCAAAAAATAGTCACTTACCCAATTATTAGGCGGTTGTAAATCTCCATTTTCGTCTACTACACCATCTTCCCAAACAAAATAATCTAAATATTTTTCATGACCTTTCAGTGCTTCTTCGAACCATACACTTTCATTGCTTCCATGGTTTGGAACGAAATCAAGTACTATTTTAATATCTGCAGAAGAAATATAAATTACATAAAATTTATGTAGACTGCAGTAGTAAAAATACAATATGAAATTATATTTTTACCTAATTCGTTTGCTTTGGCAATGAGTCGCTCAAAATCTTCCATAGTTCCGTATTCATCCTGTATGTCGTAGAAATCGGATATATCGTACCCGAAGTCATACATTGGTGATTTGAAAATTGGGGATAGCCAAGTTGCACCAACGCCAAGTTCCTTTAGATATTCTAGATTCTCAGTAATTCCTGTAAAAGTTTTACGATGATATATTGCTAATTTCAAATCAATATTGATAGTATCTAAAACTATCAGAGCAGTTTTTGTGATACTTACCATTCAAATCTCCAATTCCATCACCATCGCTATCTTTAAAAGATCTGGGGTATATCTGATAGAAAATTGTTGTTTCCCACCATTCTAGTTCTCTTTCTTGGGTTTTAACATACCCCAAGAGGAGAAGCAGTGGAAAAATCGAATATATCTTCATTTTCCAGAATCTATAACAATTAATATTAGAATATTTTATTAAACTTCTATTTGTCCACCAAATTAAGAATGAATAATATTAATTCTATATTTAATTTAAACATTTAAAAACAAATTGTTCTTTTTACTTTATATCTGACAAATAGTAATAAAATAATATGTAGTTTTTTATATAATTTCCCACATACATAATTTACGTACGAGTATATATAATACTTTTTAAATAAATTTTATATTTTCACAAGATAATAACAATGTATTAAACCTTACCTCGTGATGGTTTGAAGGTAATAGTTCGTCGTTCGTGCACGTCTTTTATTTATGCTGGAAAATCTTCAGATTAGATGTAGATAGAAAACATATTGATAAATGGATTAAAATATCCCAAGTGGCTTTTTATCGCAACCTCGTCTTACCAACAGCGAGATAATCGATACAATTCAATTCCGTAGATGGAGTCCGTAAAAGGTAAACAACAATGTTATTACACTAACCATCAATATTCTTTTACTAATACACTTTTTAATATTATAATAGAGCGGATATGAATGTGTTATTTCAATCTCGATAGAAGATTCTAAAAAAAATTCATGTATATAAAAATTCAAATCGGAAGTATATAAAAATTCAAATCAAATCAAAATATATATTTATTCATGTGCATCTATTACAGACTCTTATGATATGCCAAATCTATCGACAATTCGGAATGCTTTCGAGATTAGAAGAACTGACAAAAAACTCAGGTATATATATCGTATTATTTTGAAATATTGTTGGCAATAATACAGATTCATTTTTAAATTCATATTTTATAGGGAGGGTGTTCTTTCTGGGCCTCTGGATGTAGTTCAGTAGTTAATAGGATCATTCGTCTTGCATCCAATGAGATCTACGGTATGGTCTATCAATTATACCAATTTTAATTTTCAGAATCAACAAAACATGAATTACATATTTTATTAGCTCAAATAGGCATTTTTATTTATCGTATCGTATAAAAAAAAATACTTTCGCAACAACCACGATGAGTAATTGCAGTTTATTTGAAACAAAATTGAAATCAAAATTATTTCAGGCCTTTTGTCGTAATAAGATTTAAGGGAAAGCGAATTTTTTTGCGGATAATAACTAGTTCTTGTTACAGCTGAGAAGACGATAAAGACACTCAACCTCATTACAGTGCATTAATAGTACATTAACAGTACGTGCTCGTATGTCAGTAAAACTAGGTATATATATCTTTTCTTTATACTACGACGATGGCAAAAAAGAATACGGCTCATCTAATGGTAAACATTACCGTAATCTATCTGTCATCTATATATCATATATATGAAGATACTTTTAATATACAAATGGGTAAGAGAATTGTTAGTAGTATCTACATTGCTAGCAATTCAAGTCCAAGGGGTAACAGTGTGGAGATGGCCCTAGTATACCATCCTCCTCTGGTGGTCCAGCGTATTCTGCATATTTCATTTCATTAATACCTATTGAAAAAAAAAACTCCATGAATACATTTTTGTTAAATTATACAAACCATTACAATATCAAAAAAGGTTAAATTTCAAGAGACCTTTTGTTCAGAAATAATAATAGCAGTAACATTAGCTTATTTGTTAGATACAAAACAATTTTATCAAAGAAACATATATTGGAGTTCATTATTTAGGTATGTATTATTTTTTTACTTCACTGAGTATACGATTGCAAAATTTTGTACAGCCAATCCAATATAGAATTTGCTAATACTATTTGCGTATGAAATTCTGAAACATACATTAGTAGAGATGCGCCTCCTGTATAATATGTCAAAAGTCATATAACTGTAATGCATGTTTATATTTAAGATTACCTGAAGAATTTTCGTAGATAGTGAAAACCACATCGAAATCCATTATGTAATTTAGAAAAAGTAATCGAGAAAACAGACAGATTAAAACTACAACTTTGGTTTATAGCTTCTATAGATTCCGGTATATACTTAAATATTAAAGGTTCAATATAAATGCCAATGTTTGTCACCATCAAGTGATTCACTTACGATAAACTTTAGTCTAAAAGATCGGCCAGAATATATATATACATATTCATATTTCTAATAATTTAAATAATACTAGTTATCAATTAAAATTAATAAAGTTAGTAGTAATATTACTCATGGAAATTTCAGCAAGTTATATCTTTTTCAATCATAAGCAAGTTTGTAAAGACGGTACCAAACTTAAAGCCACTAATAGCACTAACGAAAATATACTAATGAATGAAGCAAGAGGAAATATGAAATTTGCCAGAGGTCCTGAATGTGGGTATCTCAATCACTATTTCAGCCATCAAGCCGCTTGATTTTAATGTGCATTTTGATTATAGTGTGAGTTATAAGATAGGAGGCATAATTTAAAAAGAAACGCATGACTGGTATCACAGGCGTCACATGATAACTTACCCTCAAGTATATCATAAGCTTGGCATATCAATTATATAAACAATTATTTCATTATTCGCGATACCACACATTTAATGCAACGTGTTATTATCGTCCACACCCTGCTCCTCAAGTCCGAGAAAAACTCATACGCGAGGGTCGTGACGGGCTCTCAGAATTACTTGCTCTCCTTTATGCAAAAGACTGACATACATAGAGGAGTTCTCCATCTATGTCGATCTTTTCCATAATGGATAGCATTATGAATCGTGGCGTTCAGCGATGAGCCGATTTAAGCGGACTCTAAGACGTTTGACATCTACCTTGGTTGTCATCATCAACTGTTCCTTGCAGGCGATGCGACCAAAGAATTCTAAATTTCGACGAAGACATAGGCTATTATTATCGTAGTTATTCTGTAACTACTGTAGTTTTTATTATATATGTATACAGTGGATTAGGATAGGTAAATGGGATAAACAATCTCATTTACCTATCCTAATCCACTGTCCACCATTTTAAATCAAAGCGGATATTCCTTAATATGCTTAAACTCTCTATTGTAGAATAAATAACATGTTAATAACATACAGTGCATAAAGCGAATGTGTAATCAAACTAAGCTAATGACAGGGATCAATTAATGATCATTTTGATTCGATTTTAGCATTTCTAATAGATTACCGAAATTTCAAACATTGATAGTAGGCACAAAATGTAATTAAATAGCAGTGCAGCATTATTGTTATATAATCTCAACTAGCTACTCGCCCCGATTTTTCATGGATGTATTACAATTTTTTTACTATCACGGCTTAGTGTAGGATATTTAATATTCTTTTCTATACAATATTCTGTATACATGCATTATAGATATAAACCTTCCTTTTAAATCGAAACATAAGACTACATACGGGTTGAAGTCATAGGAACACAGAAAAATGAATCTGCAATAATTTCAATTTTGTAACATTTTTATTGTTATTTATAAATTACAAACCAACTAAATTGAATAATAATATGATATTCTATTAAAATCTATGAAAATTATATAACTCATAATTATATTAAATAAACCAACGTTTCGATCGTAAAACTATTCCTTCATAACCAGCCACGGGAACGGATGCAGCCCTGAATGTATCCCTGCAAAAAAAGGTAATTTTATTACTTATTTTGCGGCTTCGGTGGTGTAGCGGTATATTACCGCCTTACATGCGGTCGCAGGTTCCATTTCATGCACGATACAAATATTTATATTCGTTAGTATAATAGTTCGCACCTGTATGGGTATTTTCTATGTACATTATATGTGCATTTACAAAAATTTTGTATCTAATATATATTTATCAGTAGTCTAGTATCTATAACACAACTTAAGAAAACCTTGGAGGTTGATAATTGCATGTACTCAAATATTTTTCTAATGTTTCGCGTTTAGATAGCTTTAGTAGTAGCACTAATACATATAATAAAACACGATTTTGATTAGTTGATTGCTAATAAATTGGATGCAAGATTTTGATGGTCAATCTCTGCCAAAGTAAGTTTTAAACTTATATACATAATATGCACTGTTTCGTATCAAAAACAAAATGTATATATGTAATAACATATTGCTTAATAACATAAGGATAAGATTATAGATAAATATTGTATAGATAAAGTATATTCTATCTGATATAGTTTGGTTTTTGTTCTAAATATTGCATACATTTAGAACAAAAACTAAACTATATCAAATAGACTTGTCTCAAATAGACAGTATTATAATTAAAACAATTTGTGATAATTCTACAATATCATAAGCATTAGAATTTCTAAGCAATTCATCACTCACCCTTTATTTTTAGAGGACTCAACACTTGATAATACAACTCGCACAATACCAAAGACGTTTTCAAAATAGGTCAGGTCTACTTCATATTCAGTATCACGCATGTTAACTACAACTATATAGATATTTCCCCGATACAATCTGAAAATAAGTAATGATAATTTCAAAAATAGTCGCTACATATTCCTTCTTTCATATATTAATGAAAAGTTTCAAAGTTATAAATAAATATTTATAGTTATATATAATATGTAGTATCAGAACTTAATAAAATTTACTTCAAAAGTTAATAATGATTTTAAAATGTAAATAATATGACAAGTTTAATATTAAGGTATGACTGATTTCAATGATTTATTTAAAAAAAAGTATACCAGAAATTTTAAAGAAATTAATATTAAAATTTTTATTCGTAATAAAATTTTAATTTTGTTTATTAATTTTAAAATTTAAAATATAATATGAATAATTGTTTAGATTTGATAACAAGAATACCTTTTGAATGCAAATACGTCATTATTAAGAGCAAGAGACTCGAAACTTCCATATCTGAAAACATTGTCTTGGCGAAGCTCAGCAAGTGCCTGATATACCTTCAGATGTGATTTATCTGCATCTTTTTGTACCTCCACATTTAAAGTTTTATATCCGTCAGCGACTGGCAGCCAAGTTTTATCAGCAGAGGAAAAACCTAGAAAATAAAAGATTTTTAAAAAAAGCACTGTTTACACAATTTATTTTAACTCGCATTTTATGTAACTTTACAACTTATGTTGCAATATTTGTAAGTAGGTATGTTTTTGTTCTAATAATTTTCAACTGAATAATAAAACATTTATTCTAAACAAATTGAACTGTAATTTTGTATTCACACTCGATTCATTAGTTAAATCGAATATAACGAACTGCAACAAAATGTTTTTTTAGCTTCCAAAATTGGGTATAAAATAAAATGGTTTATGTAAAATAAAATAACCACAATCTATAATAAATCCAACACGATAGACTAATAAAAAAATTTTATATCCACTAATTATTTAAGAATAAATAATGTCCTCATATAGTATCAAGTAATTATCTGACCAGGGTTTATATGATTTATTTACAATATCAAGCCCAACTATCTTGTGTTTAATAGGGTAACGATTCAGATAACGACTCCGAATTAATTTGAACTAGAAGATTAGACTAATGTTCGCTATTAGTACTATTAATATCTTCCCATAAATAATTATAATAACTACACTGATCGATATCATGATATCCAAAAGTAATAATATAGCACAAATTATCAATTTTGTTTAATTTAAGCTAAAGTTTTTACCAGCATTTTTTTCAGCATTCCATTGGAATGGAGTGCGCTCTGGATCTCTTGATGATAAGACATAGTTAATAGGATCATTTGTATTACAACCAGCAGGATCAACAGTTTCTTCCCAGCTGACATAACCATCTACCATACCAATCTCTTCACCCTATAATGTCATAAAATTTAAAGTAACATGTCTTTATCATTTATAGCTATGTATGAAAACTATACACACTATAAACCTTTTTGTGCAAATTTATGCTTATTTTAAAAAAAAAATATTTTTAAACTACGCATATCGTTTCTGCTGTGCGTAATAAGATAAGCATAAATAATAAATTAATAAGATTGTCATAAACAAACTACCTCTAAAATAAATCATGCTACATGTACAAAATGTCAAAAAATATTTTTATCGTTAATATAATTAATTGTGTTTTAATTGAATCAATATATATATATATATATATATATATATATATATATATCTTTAAGTTACAGTCACTGTTACGATAATCGTAATGAATTCAAAAAGAAATAAAACTATAGATTAACTGTTTGATACATACCATATAAGTTACTGCAACTCCTGGAAGTAACAGGACTAACATGTTAATTCCATCAACTAATGCTGGACCAAATCTTGTAGCCATTCTACTTCTATCGTGATTTCCAACCTTAAAATTCAATAAACATATAATTAGCATTGGCACTATATATTAATAAATTAGTTTTACTCATTGATATTAATTTTAACATACCACCCAATTAGCTTGCTTATCTATCGGTTTATAGGTCAAAAATTTATCAACAGCGCGCTTTAGGTCTGCAGCAGAGGCTGTTTTATCAACATCAGTGATTAGATCAAAATTGAAAGGCATGTGAGCTCCTTCTAATTCGCCATCTCCATAATACCTTACAACATCTTGAATTGTAGCATATACTTCTGTCATCATAACTCTAGTTAATCCATCACTCGCTGCTACCTCTTCAAATACATCTCTCCATTGATATACCATATAGTAAGTTTCATTTTGATTTCTTGTGTAAATGTGATCTAGTACATCAGGAGATTCTGGATCTACATCAGTTCTACCTGATAGTGGTTCATCAGGAAAAACTCCTCCAAAAAGTTCTTTATCTACTTCAAATAAACAATTTATGGCATCTACTCTAAATCCAGCAACACCTTTGTTTAACCAAAAACGAATAATGTCCTAAAAGATAAGAATAATTATAGCATTACTAACTGTCCCGGCAAACGTTGTTTTGCCTTAAAATAAAAAAAAAAATTTAGGGGTGGACTACCCCTAACATTTAGGGCGATGAAAAATAGATGTTGGCCGATTCTCAGACCTACTCAATACGCTCACAAAATTTCTGAGAATCGGTCAAGCCGTTTCGGAGGAGTATGGGAACGAAAACTGTAACACGAGAATTTTATATATAAGATTTTAACTATATTTCATGAAGCATGTTTACTCTTTTATATAGATAGTAACAATATAATAATTATGTTATATTTAACTTACTTTCATTTCTTGTACAACGTCTGGATTGCGGTAGTTGAGATCTGGTTGTCCAACAACGAATTGATGTAAATAATATTGACCAACTTCTTCTCTGTACTCCCACATGCTACCACGAAAATGACTTATCTAAAAATAATAGAACTGTGTTAATTTCTTTTGAATCTTGTGTTATTTATTTCCTGTATACAATGTACCTATGTTTATACTGTAATAATAATTTGAAGAATTTATTACATACCCAATTATTAGGAGGTTGTCTGTTGCCATTTTCATCGATTACTCCATCTTCCCAAATGAAGTAATCGTAGTACTTTTTATTACCTTTGAGTGCTTCTTGAAACCATATGCTTTCATTGGAAGTGTGATTTGGTACGAGATCAAGAACTACTTTTAAGTCTGTATCAGAAAAAAATCTTATGATTATAAGAACTACTGTACTTCAAGTTTTTTTCTTGAATATTAGCGGTAACCTAAATATTGACTTCAAGTATAAAATGTCTAAATGAAAATTTAACACAGTAACTTTACAATACAGTATTAATTTACTTACCAAATTCTGTTGCCCTATCAATAAGATTTTCAAAATCTTCCATGGTCCCAAATTCATCGTGAATGGCATAAAAGTCAGCGATATCATACCCAAAGTCATACATTGGTGATTGAAAAATTGGTGACAGCCAAATTGCGTCAACTCCAAGTTCCTTAACGTACTCTAATTTCGACGTAATTCCTAAAGCAATAACATTAATCATGTTTAACGGTCTGGCAGAATCATTGTCAATGGTAAAATAATATTTTTACCTTATTATTTGTTGGGACTTCTTTCATAAAAAATCTGTTATCACCAGTTTCCTTGACATGTTTTATAAGAAGTATTAAAAAACAACATAACCAACAAACATAAGTAAGGTGATATTTAAAAGAGAGATATATCTCATTATAAGTTTTCATTAATTATCTCATTTACTAAATAAATTCGGGAGATTTAATAAATAAACATTACTATTTACCTTTAAGATCTCCAATTCCATCGCCATCGCTGTCAGCAAAGGATCTTGGATAAATTTGATAAAAAATTGTTTTCTCCCACCAATCCTGATCGTCAGTTCCCTTTATGCTAGTACAAGATATTGCTACGAGCAAAGATAATAAAAGTATTTTTTCTAACATTTTCACTACTTAATATTGTACGAGAGCTTCAGGTTATTACTCGGACACTGGCATCTTATAGTATTTGGTGTATTATATATACTATCTCATATTTATCTAATGACATTTTCTTAAAGAAATCTGATAAGTTATATGTGATGATCTCAAGATAAGAACGAAAGACTTCTGTATTATGACAGTATATGACTAAGGTACATGATTAACAACGTTTAGTAGTTGGAGAATATATGTTTCACTATTTTGTAAGCTTTTTAATATAATTTAGTTCTATCGTTGTACTATTTACAACTCATGATAAAAAAAAATAAGAAGAATTACCTCCATTGAGCCAAAGATACTTATTGTTTCACCATGCTAATCCACTGCATATATGTTGAAACTAGATACGCCTCTATTTGTTGAACTAAATAAAATTGTACTTATATTTTCTTATAAAACTTGAAATACAATTTATCTCAAATTGAAAAAATTGACTGTATTTAAAACCGGTGATTATATTTTCCATTATTGCATCAATTTGATGGAAAGTTTACAACAATTTGATATATCTAATAGTTAACAGTTTGATAAGATAATAACGAAAAAAGTTATTTTAACTTCGATTCGTAAAATTTTAACAGGCGCTACTTCAATATACTCCAACATGATTTTAAATAATAAAATTTTCTTCACTATTTTTATGTTGAAAGGAGAGTTTATAATAGGTATATGAATAAATACACCATATTTAATATAGCTTCAGATTTATTAGATACATTCTATAATTGAAATATCAAAAATAATCAGACCTGCATTCTGAGTACTAAAGCTTCGTCTGAAGCAAGATCCAAATTAGTGGCTTGAACATTATCACTGAAAATGAATGTACATATTTTATATTATTATCACATATTGCTAATTAAAAATCATAAACTATATGGTTATCTATTGGAATATGGCTATAAATGCGACGATTAAAAAATCCACCAGATGTTAAGTAGTAACCAAAGGGTTACATGATGTTATATGGTATCACAAGGGTTATATGATAATTCTCGAATGAATCATAATTTAGATAAAGATCTAAATTATGATTCATTCGAGAATTATCATCATCTGTTTATTTCAGAGGATTAAGGTTCATTCATACTCTGTAATATTACTTTTTATTGTACCCTTCAAGAATAACATACCACAAGTTACTTGGTCCATGAAATAGATGAGATAGATAAATGACATTTTACTAAATCTACCTACCTGTAAAAAATTAATATATTGCATAAATTAAATTACCTATAAGACCTCGATGATAGAACATTGCTCGCTTCCACTTCCAGTTGTCCGAAAATTAAATCAAATGCTGTCAGATTAACAATGTGATCGCTTCTTCCGACGTTTATTACTATCACATAAGAATCGTCATTATACCATCTGAAAACATGAAATAGAATAAGACGACTTTTACTGTGAGTTACCTCAGCTATTGCTGATATAAAATTCAACCTTAATGAGGCGTGTACAGCGCTAATTTTCAGTCTGCCCGCATAAGATTTAAAATTTTATACTAATAAGAAAAAGAAATAAGCAAATTACATTTCCGCAGAATTACTATCCTTATTATTATCCCAACAAGTATACCAAACCATAAATACCAAAATTATCTCAATTTTATGTTATTAAACTAATTGAACTACTTCCTATTACATTGCCGTCATTAAAAACCTACGTGAATTGTTCAGAACTCGTCTATGGTATTCGATATTGGAAAATCTCGGGGAAATGTAACAGATATTATATTGAAGCTCCGGGAAATGAAAGCATATTAAGTCTTACGTTGACCACAATGACAACTATTAACTAACAACACTCTATCTATGACTACGGGTGTTAACATATGTTATAACCCGTGTGAATAAAATAGTTGACCCGCGCAACTTCGTCTGCGTTAAATTTCACCCGTTTTGCTACATTTTTTATTACATCTCTAATCCTATTGGTCATAGAATCATGTTCACTATTAAAAACGAAATGAAGCTTTAAAATCTCTTCAGTAGATCTACCCTACAATCTCACAAACTTTACCTCCTTATAATGTTAGTACATAAGTGTATATATATTTAAGTATAGACATATTGCCACGACTGACATACCAGATGACCATACATCTAAAGTCACAGAATCTAATGAAACAGAAGGCGAACCTACTGCCACCTAGCGTGTAAATTTTTGGTTCGATATTAGTGTTTAGTTTACCGTAGAAATACACACAAATAATACATTTTTTGCATAGATCTCTTGACTGTAGTTGCAACAGTCTTATACTATTTATGTGTAATTTAAATGTCACTTAGAAAATATCATACTACAACCACATTCTTAATATAAATATTAATAATATGAAGTTAGAAATATTTATCTAAGTAAAATAATAATTTCATCCTATGACTCACATTTCCTTTCTAAACAAATATTGTGACTAATACATAGTAAAGATAATTTTCCATTTCATAATCATAGTGATAAGAGACAGTTCAAGACAAAATACATATCAATGATTATGTCAACCGTAACACGACTCGCAATCCATGCAGAATGGCGGATGAAATAATTAAGACTACTTTGTGTAAATTTAATGATATTATATAATTTCTAAATTTGGTTTAAGTTATGAAACCTATTAAGTTCTTGTCAATTCATATTAACTTAGTAAGTGACAAATAACATAACTTATACCACATATAAGAAAATATAACTGAATACTTTTGCTTCATCATTTATTCCTTATTTTTATATTTTTTATGAAGCTATGCTTTTTAGGTTCAACAATGTGATATACGAGACTAAAATATATAATTCAGAATCATTCTATTCTTCTCTTCTCAAGTTCTATAATAATTATATTTAATTAAAAGTATACCAATATTATTAACATTACTATTAATAATTATACTATTGACGGCCTCAATGGTGTAGGTAGATGTTTAGTGTAGCGCTTTACCCAAAGGTCAGATTCAATTTCTTGCACAAACACCTACAAACTTTTCTATTAATTACTGCGATTAGTATGATTGTTTGTATTTCTCTGGGTGTTTTCTATGTACTACATATGTAGATAGAACAAAATGTATGTACCTCTTAGTCTAGCACCCATAACACAAACTCTACTTAGCTTGGGACTAGATGGCTCTGTGTGAATTATCAAGCAAAAAAAACGGCAAAATTATATTTTTGATGGATTTCGTGTAGATTATACCAACGAGTCACGTAGGATATATTTCTTTCGAGTACAAATATCTAGTAAATAATAAATATTATTCTAACAAGTAAAATCATTTAAACAGAAAATAATGTAAATAAAAAAATAAATACTGTGAATGGATTGGAACGTGACAGTTCACCCCTTTCAACCATAAAATTGGGTCAAGTAGATAACATTAAGCCGCTATCAATGACATTACGACACGAATATATTGTTAAGTTCACAGTTACGTTGCAGGAAAGAAATAAATTAACAGTTTATTATAAAAATAATTATATAAGCATACATACAAAATTATGAATGATGCACCATAAGTCACAAATGAAACTGTACTTGTACTATAAGTAATAGACAAGTAACAGGCATTAAATATGTATAAGAAAGCAATATTCAAATATAAGCCGATATTTTTTAATAATAAATTATTATCATATCTCAATACAACTCAGACAGCGCCATCTATGTAGTTTCAAATTAAGGATACCTTGTATGAGTTGTTATGAGTACGTATAATGACGTACTAGACAATAGATACATTTTTGGTAAATGCCTAAATAATACATACAGACAATTACCAAACTAATATAAACATTCATATGAATATAAATGTTTGTACCATGCAAGGTATTTAACCTATAACCATCGAAAGTAGGGCAGTGTGCCTAACCGCTGGACCACCTAATGGCTAAGATAAAAGAAAACCTTTTAAACCCTTCACACTAACTGGATCACGCGACATCCCGAATTTTTGTCTTATCTATGCTCCTTGTAGAAATATAGAATTTCTACAAAGGGTAAAATAAAATTATATCCGGTGGATATAGAACTCTTTCAAAGACAATACGATAAACCCCTTTCTATTATAGGTACCTTGGATATAAGGTACAATTAGATCTGTTGAGAAAAATAATTTATAAAAGACAATCTTTTCAGTGATACTCAGTTTTCGTTATTCACTAAATAATTGTGATTAAATAAATAAACAATAATGATATTTTAAATATCATGAATGTTATCTGTTAGCCTAGTATATAGTTAACTATATCCCAAATATTATTAATTGAAATCTGACAACATAAAAAGAGTTGTGTATATACAATATATGTAAATATTTCTATGACTGATCTTTGATAGCACCTCAACTTGGAAAACTGCTACGTTGGATTCATAATATACCGTAATTATCAAAATATAATGGAATATGGACATGTCAAGAGTTAAATCTGGAATTATAAAGGTACATTAACTACTTAAGCCAAACATTATAATACCTTTTAAAAGCAAACACGTCACTGTTCAGTGCTAAAGATTCGTAACGGCCAAACTTGAAGGCAGGTCGAATACGCAGATTTGTCAGTGTACGGTACACCTGGTAATGACTTCGAACAGCTGATCTTTGGTTGGCCACGTTCAACTGTTCATAGCTATCAGCAACTGGTAGCCATGTTCTATCGGCTGAAGAAAATCCTTTAAAAAAGCAAACATATTAATTCCTGTCCCATCCCCATGTCCTAAATTGGACTTTATAATTTATAAATGTATAAATGTCATGACGTATCTATCTTAAAATCCAATTACTTACGAGATTAGTTAGACAATAGGTTAGTAATCGCACAGGTATGGAGACTGCATTGTTAGCAATACAGGCTAACTTAGACATTCATGGAAACAATCATTATAAGGTCCTGATGATTTCGCCATATTTCCCTAACTAACCTTATCCAATATTCTATAATGGAGACTCTGTTAGTATAATATCATTAATATAAGTAGGTGCATCATTACGTAATGGATCATTAATAACCGAGTTCAATTGACTTCTATTCCTACATACAACATGATGCATTTACAACCCTTTTCATGAGTACTCGTCAGTTCCAGGCACTGTTAACTACTTCGTCAGATAAAACTTGATCTACCTGATCGTAATAACTAAGTCTAAGAGTAATTTGTCATCAAATGGATTGCTAAATAAGAGACAAGACATCTTAGTCCTTTGGAATAGCAACGTATGGGTAGTATCATACTTGTCAGATGATAACGTAACGTCCGTAATGCTGTGTATATATATAGATGACGGTTTACGATTACCATTAAATGGGCCGTCAACTTGTTTATCATTCCAATTACATAAAAAATCTTTTACAGTTGATATATCAAACGACATTCAACATAAGACTTGCTTTTAGCCAGTACCAATATAGAATCTTTTAATAACTAAGAATACTATTTATTACTTTCTTTTATATTATATTTACTCAATTTTACATTGACAGCTTCTTAAATAAATTCAACAATAATTGAATAATATACTTAATAGAAAGATTTCATATGTAAAAAGGATGTCACCAAAATGGATTCCATTTTGTTCGTGCCATGAATTCATGTTTCGCCTTAAAATTGATGGAAATTCGTACCCCGGGTACGATAATGTATTCTTTATATTATCCGATTACAGGATTTACGCTGTAAATTTCTTTAACAACAAACATAATATAACCTAAAATAATTTCGTCTAAGGTTTATTATTACAGTTATATATTTTAAAATAACAATTTATTCTTCTGCAATAGGCGGCTTTATTGCTATACATATTACTTGTATTTTTTGTTGTATGATACAAACAACTTGTATTCTATCTTTAACGGCTATGATGGGACCGCTATTATTTATGTAGTGTTCTGTAGCAGTAGTACTAGAAAGAGAGAGATGAAGAGAAATCAATCGTAACTATTTACATATTTATATTGTAGAAGTATTTACAAACTATAAATGTACATAAGAAGTATATTTACAACAAGATTCGCTTCCGAATGCAGGCCTGTTATTTTTCTTGTTCCGTCGTAAATAGGCAATGGTGTTGCCGCACGATGATAGTAAATTCGCCACATATCTATGTACTCGTATGTATGTACACGATTAAAGTACATTAATGTCGTTCAATATTAACTCTACTCTTTTATACGTTCATATTATGGTATGATCTAGTCTGATTTAAATAAAACTATCGACTAATTTGTATCTAAATAGAAAATTAGTACGAAAACGTCACAAAAGCAGTCATGGCATCAGTTTGTGACGTCACTCCTAAAGCCAGCACTGGATATAGCTTTCCAAATGCAAATGCTAACAAAGCCATGTATGGCCCGTGTTTGAACATGTGTATAAAGTTAGAACATTTGCTCTTTGCCAGCACATGTCAGTTTTCAAGCACACAGCAAAGCGTTCTATGTTCAAATAGTGCAAACTGGTTTAATTACGCAAAGTCCAACCCAAAGTAGTAGCTAATATAATCTATATGTGAATATATATGAAAATTAATCCTTATTGTCTTGATCACGCAACAAATAATTATAAGTCATTTGCCAAATGGAAAAATACTAACAATAGGTCGTCAGGATCCACATGACGTGTGCAAAAATTCAATTGGTTGGTTAATAGAATTACTGGTAAATCAAATAAAATCGCTATATCCTTCACGTAGTCTAACTAAAAAAATATATTTTCTATAAGGTTTTGTGGAACGTAACGTAAGAAAATTGAGATATTTTTAGAAACTAATGATTATTTGAACTTTGCTTATTTGACAGTTCTACTCAATGTTAAGGCTAGGCAATACGGCAATATCTGTTATATTGCCGTCAGCTAGTAAATATTAATTAAATAAAATATCGCAATGCACCATCACAGACCGCTGACAGCGATACTTATTAACTTTTTTATTGTAACTACATATATAGTATGTATCGACAGAAAAACACCCAGTCTAAGACTAATAAGTATATAAATGAATATAAATATTTACATTTATCGGGGCATCAAGTCCATGATATTATACAGTACTAAAAATGAAGAAATTGAGATCTGAGACTATATAATTCATGAGAACTGACAGAAAAATAAAACAAAAACTTGACTCGGTTATGAAACTACAGGTACCAAAAAGCTAAAAAATCAACAACCCGTAATGATCTAGAAATTACAACTTTTGAGGGTTTTATCTAAAAAACTGAGTAACGCTTTTATCAAATGTAGCTTAAATTTTAAAATTTTTTGACGAACTCGAAGGTCTAGCATACCGCTTTACGTTCGATAGTCGCGGGTTCAATTCCGAAATATTTATATTAATGATTATGATTGTTTGTATCGGTATAGTTGTTTTATATGTAGGTATAATATATATGTATTTCCGAAAAAAAACTATGTATTTGTAACAGTTATCTATCTAGTGCCCATAATACAAGCTGTAGCTAGGTTGACTTGGATCTAGATGGCGCTGCGTGAATTATCATAAGATTATTATTATTACTATCTAACTTAGTTTAGATTACAAGTAAAATTCTTAACTTCTTGTTTAAAAAATGTTGCTTTTTAATCTAATATTATTTATTATTTATTTACTCATTTATGATGATACTTTTAATACAGCATTTCCATGTAACTATTTTATCAATAAAGTTACTTAAATAAATAAGTACATACCTCCATTTTTACCGTTGTTCCATTGAAAGGGCGTACGTACAGGATCCCGTGAAATCTCTATAAAATTGACAGGGTCGTCTGTGTTGCACGCTCGCGGGTCCTTCGTGTCACTCCACGGAACAAATCCATTTACCATTCCAATTTCCTCGCCCTGTCATGTATATACATTTTCAATTTCTGTTTTATAAATTTAGCTATTTACGGAGCATTATATCTTATATATAAAATTCTCGTGTCACAGTTTTCGTTCCCATACTCCTCCGAAACGGCTTGACCGATTCTCATTAAATTTTGTGATCGTATTGAGTAGGTCTGGGAATCGGCCAACATCTATTTTTCATCCCCCTAAATGTTAGGGGTAGTCCACCCCTAAATTTTTTTATTATATTTTAAGGCAAAACAACGTTTGGCGGGATAGCTAGTTCCTGTATAAAATAGTAGTTTAAAGAACGGCACAACCTACAGCAATTTTGTATTCAGATATATTAAACCTTATTTAAAAATAGACGACCGGTATTTTAATTCTGATAGGGGCATATATATATATAATTTTTGTTGTAGTTATTATAGACGAGACTATTGTAGTCTTATTAATTTCTATGTTTTCGGCGTATTATATTATAACAGAATTAGACTAAATTGTATACATTATTTCCCTATTGAAAGGAAAATATACGTTTATATACTGTTTCAAATTTGATGCGGTCATTATACGTATAATTAGTCAATCTTACCACTAAATAAAGTAAATAAGAACTTAATAAAAAAAACAAGGGGTAAGACCCCGTGATTTACTAATTACACATATAAATATACCTTTATACTTATATTTGTACATGTTTTCATTTCACTGGTTTAATTTACATAGGTTTCGTCAAAATTGTAGTTTCTAGTTACCTAATGGAGTCAGGTGTTATTTTGTGGGTAACAATCTCACTAACTAATGGATTACTTATTATGATTACAGTTACCGTTTGATTTATGATACCATTCATGTATAGGAGTATAATTATGGTGTAAGATTCAAAGAAAAACACTGCGACTAGTAGAATATAGCTTTTAAGAGTATATTAGTAAGAATAATAAAATAGTAAAAGTAGAGTATAATAGAATAATAAAATATAGATTTTACTATTTTTACCCACAATTTCGAACAGAATTATTGTATGACGAGGATTTAAATTAGCTTGTGTTTTTTTAATTCCAAATATTACCCAAATTTCATGACTATTGTTGAAGTATATTCATATAAGTCTACTGTTAAAATTAACAAATTAAATCATGAACAATATTCTAAATGTTTTCTATATCTGATCTTTGATCCAAAGAGGTTGTATATCCTTTTTATCAGGGCAAAAGGTAGCTCCCGTGTACGTAGTATACATAATAAATATATAATGTATTTCTGGATAACTTATTTTATATTTAGAATAGCAAACGAAGATGACTGCCCACGTGATGGAAAGAGTGTATCACCACCCACTTTCAAATAGTACTGTAACAGTATCACGAACATTATATATAAGAGCATCACCGTATAATTAAGGTATTTAATTTTAAATCTATATTTATTCGTTGTATCCTAAAATAAACTTTACTCCTGATGCTTGCGGGTCCAATTCCTTATACCATGCAAATACATATTTGTATTCATGAGTATGAGTATTTGTATTGTTCCGTGTGTTATCTATATGTATTATGTACATATTTACAATAAAGTTCTATTTAAGAATTTTTGTTAGTAATCCAGCATCCATAAGACAAGCACTGCTTAGTTTAAGACTAGATAGCGCTATATGAATGATCCACGGTAAAAAAGTAAATAATATTTATATATATATCATTATTCTATTTTTAGCTTATCTACAGTTTGTAATCATGATTTACAATAACAATTACCATGTATGTAATAGCAATTCCGGGCAAAAGTAGAACAAGCATATTAAACGCGTCCACTAATTCAGGCCTGAATCGTGACGCTATCCGGCTTTTATCGTGATTGCCAAACTGTAACAAATAATTATCAGTAATATCACTCCCGTAATTTTATTGATTACTGTAGGATCTCAGTGAATACAGAGATTGATTGCGTCATTCAAAGATGTACCTCTACGTCTCTGACTAAGTAATCATTATAATATTGTTCATTTACATATACATATGTTATATAAAATCAAATTTATTGTTGACAATCTCATCAATCAATAATAGTAATAAAATACTTTAAATAACTCATTGTCATACAAGTTAATAATAATGTACATAATTTATTTACTGAAGCATCAATACACACATATTGCTGCACATGTCGGATTTAACACATAGAGTCAACAATGATATAATATTATTGATATGATAGATATTTTTAATTTACTATTATTACATGTCTTATACGTAATAATTATACATATACGTGTAAGTAATATAGAGTCTATTAAGTAATAACCTTTTTTATTTACTGCAATATAACCCATTCCTAATGACGTAAAAAAACACAAGGCACATAGAATAAGAGGATGCTAAATTCAACTTCTTAAGTGTATTCGGCGTATCTTAGCTCCATTTTTATTATTTTGTTTATTTACACTGTATTTAATATAATATAGATATAATAAAAGTTAAAATTTTTACAATTACAATTTTTAATAAGACTAGTTTATCGATGTTAGGAATATTTTTCTACATTTTTTACATATGGTTATTTAGGCACTAAAATATTGATTCTGCTCTAATCTATATAATATTTTATTTAAAATAATAGTTTTACTTTTACAAAGCAATGTTATTTTTTATTTAATTATAATTATATATTTTTTAAAAGTAATTATGAATATATATATTTAAAATATATACCAATAAAATCCATATATATAATTGCACATAATATATATATATGGATTTTATTGGAATACGTACCACCCAATTGGCTTGTTTCTTCAAGGGTTTGTAAGTCAGCCAGCGATCCACCGTATATTTTATATCTCTCGCGTCAGAATCCTTATCCAAGTCCTCTATAAGAGCCAAATTGAATGGGATATGTGCTCCTGAGTGGATACCCTCCCCGTAATATCTCACTGCACTTTTAATATTTGTATTCGCATCCGTCATCATAATTCTGAAGAGGAAAGAAAGGAAAGTAATAAACTATTTATGAAGAAAATTACGCCAGGAATTGTATGATTAAATTTTGTGAATAAACAAGATTTCTTTTTATTCCGAGCTATATATACGAGCAAGGTCGTGAATTTTTTATTATAAAGACATTTTTTTTATGCTAAGTATAATAATTGGATAGTTGATGCTTACATTTAGTTCAAAAGTGAAATGGAAAGTTTGAGTTAATGAAAAGTATGTGATGTGAAGTATTTTTTTAAATCTCACAAGTATATTTGCTAATTAATAAGAAATTGCATCAATTCCATTCCATATTGTATGGTATACCATAGTCTGCTAACTCCTCAACCAAATACAAAAATTTTAGAACTAAACAGTATTTTGTATAAACATTTGTACCTTGTAAGGTTATCTCTAATTGTAATAGCATCAAAAACATCTCTAAACTGTGCGACCATATCGTACACTTCTTCTTGATCTTGTGTATATATATGGTCTAGGTAGCCGTAATCATCAGGACCTAACCCTGGTTTACCAGTTAACGGTTCGTCGGGATACCGGCCACCGTACATATCCTTATCAGCTTCAAAAATATGGTTGACAGATGTCAACCGCATACCAGCTACACCTTTTTCTAGCCAGAACTTAATTATATTCTGCAATTAATTAAAAACAAAGGCAAGGTTAATTTTGTAGAGTCTAGTCTCTTCAAGTTGTATACGCAGATTTAATTATCATTATTTAATAATGATTCAATGAAATCGTTTCAATTATGCAACGGATTTAGTTGCAGTTTTTAGAAATAGGTAGAATGATTCAAGAAGAGGGTTTATATGTATAATATTATAAAATAAAATTTACAGATTTGTAATGCACTTATGCGAAGCTGGGTTGGTTCGCTAGTGTGTAATAGCTCTTACCACTTTTTACATTCCACTTATAAGAACTTCCAGTAATTCTCCATATACGTTGACTAGCTGTATCTCGTAGCTTTTATCATATTTTATTCTAATACATCCATTATATAGTCTTCTATTGAAACTCACCTCATATATTTCCACGTTTAAATATTAGTACGATACAATATTTCACTAACTTTTCCCAATGGTAGCTTTATGTTGTATACATGCTGTGTATACAATTATGTACCTACCTTAATTTCATCTACGACCACAGGATTTCTAAAATTCAGATCAGGTTGTGCCTCTCCAAATTGATGTAAATAATACTGATCTCTATTGGGCATGAAGGTCCAAGCAGATTTTCTAAATACACTGATCTGAAAGAATTTATTAAAAACTTTACGACGCGTATAATTTTCGTTTTAATACGAATGTGAATATAAATTAATGGTATTGCCAGGTTTTAAATATTGCAGGTACTAACAATAATTTTAAACTTATCAACATCCATAATTATTTTTTTGTTTAAACATAAGTTTCCATGAAACTTTTAATTGGTTTATTCAACGGAATTTTAGACAAGTAGAATTAAAGACAATGACATACTCGGAATTTGTATCAACGTACCCAATTATTCGGAGGTTGCTTTTGTCCGTGATCGTCGAGGTGACCATTTTCCCAGATATACCAGTCGTTATAATATTCATCTTTGTTAGATGATTTGATAAACCATTCACTCTCATTACTGGTGTGATTTGGAACAAAATCCAGCACAATTTTTATGTCTGTGTAGACAGAAATAATGATTGAATTTATACTAATGAGAATTTCTAGAGAGAAGTGACAAATAACGTTAAAGATTTTCCTAATCTTCTTTGAGTTCAATAATACAGACGTTATTATACGTATTTATTCCCGCCACTTGCAGTATTGGTAAAAAATATTTTCATTGTCTATTCAATAAAGTACCCACAAGATATTTGTCTGAACTAGATATTTTCCTGTTCCTTATACATCAGTTTCTATTCATTATTCATGACGCATCCCAAGCCTAATTGGCAAGGAAGACAGAAGGTATTTTTGGTATAGCAGTTGAAATTGTATTTTTTGTTTTCTATGCTCGTTTTTCTAAACAATATACAGTTGATATATAAACAACAAGATTTGGTTTTCATATCAGAATATCAATCTTAAACCCAAAGAAAATATAACTAGTTTATTTCATCCGTCTTCCTAACTCACACTACTTATTAAGTAAAGATATTAGCAAATGTCATCATCATCTCTATTTCTTTGTCCTATTTCATTTGAAGTTGGCGAAGTGTTTTCCTCTTCCATTCATATCTATTCGCAATCATCTTGTCATTCACTCCTTTTTTCACAATCTAGTCATCTCTTTTTCGACCTTTCTCTGCTCTTATGATCTCTTATACTAAATGATAGTCAAAGTTTAACCTACTAATAAATAAATGCCATTAAATGTCATTAAACATTTCATTCATTATAGAAGTACCGTAAAATAAACGAAAGAAGTGCAGATCATCATTACTAAGTCACATATTTCATCAAGTAAATTGACCAAGAATTAAGTATGACGATTTCCAGAATGCACCACGTGGATAGCGACACCAATGTACTCAGTAAAGAATGAGACTTATAAAAGGCCCCAAAACTGATATAAGAAATAATATTAATTCAATTTTGTAGCAAATGACTTGAAAGATAAATAGAGACAGTGAAACATGCATCATCACTCTTGTATAATATATTGTTATCGAGCACTACACATGGTTCTTAAATCACGTTCAAAATTTATAAATAAAACTCTTTAAAAATAAATATAATAAATTGGATATAATAATATTATCAACAAAACATTTAGTTGTTCATCGAATAAAACTGAGCAAAAGCAACATTAAATTTGGGTGGAAATTCAAATAAAATCTAGTTAGCAAACTTTAAAATCACTGATGCGCTGCGTAAACAAATTTGAGAGTTAAAGAACACGGATCATTCGTCCATGGGTAGGTAATGCATATATTTGCATAATGGATTGTACGATGAATAATAAACCTGCGAAATGGCTTTTTATTTTCACAAATTCTATTCGTTTCCGTAATATCTACGATATTATGGTTATTATAGATTGTATAAACGGATAAATTTGTTTATACAATCTTACAAGTGCTAAATAAGCATAAAGCATAATAAGCACAATAAGCATAAATAAGCATAAGGGCTAACTCGTCTGCGGAATTTTGTAAAATTCCAAAGACATTTTTTTTCTATCTTTGCGTATAATGAAATCGTGACGAAGTAAAAGCTGCCTGCTTGTTAATATTGCATATAAAATGGCAGGAAAATGGGTATGAAATTTTTAAGAAATAGATTTTTAAATATATTTTAACATATAAATAGAAAGCTGAGAATAATGTATAATATAATAAGCCAGATTGGTGAAATATGTATATTTTTTTAATTATTATATTTTTAATAAACTAGATAGCATCATTAAAATGTTTCAATTATATTAATTTATTTTATATTTATTTCAATAATATTATTATATTATTGTTGTTTAATATCATCAATAAGTGGTATCTACAAATGTATGCAGTAGTAGGTAAAAGCGATCAAGGTTGCGAGTACAGTTATTATTTTATAAAATTTAATAAATCGCTTAGAACTATTGCACTCCTTTACGTTTTAATTATTTATTTATTTGACTTCAATGCACATAATACAAAAGTTAGTATAGTACATTTGGCGGACTTAACACCATTCGGCAGTTTCTACCAGTTAACCATTAGTAGTAACAGAGAATAATAGTTGGCAGTGCAAATTTACTTTTTGATAAATAAAATGATAAATACAATATATACCTAACCGGTACAATAATGAATAATAAATAAAATAATAATCGAAATACTCACTGAGATCTTTAGATTTTCTCAAAAGATGTTCAAAATCTTCCATAGAACCATATTCTGGTTGTATAGCGTAGAAATCAGATACGTCATAACCAAAATCGTGCATAGGTGATTTGAAAATCGATGATAGCCAAGCGACATCAACACCTATTTCTTTTAGATATTCCAATCTTGATGTTATACCTGATATTATACAGAGACTATAAGAAAATGAGATTACAGGTAATAATAATAATAAAGTTGAGAAAATGTAGCATAAATAATAATAATATTTCAGTACAATTCACACAGGGCAATCTAGTTATGAGTATTAGACATCTGGTACAATTACACAGATACTTTTTTTTTGTAAATGCATACATAATATACATAGAAACCACCCAGACCGATACAAACAATCATATCATACTCATATTTGTGGCGTGCGAGGAATCGAATCTGAGACCTTCGGAAATAAGCGGTATGCTAAACCATTAAACCACCGAGGCCGTCGAGGTAGGTGCACATAGGCATTCTTTATCTGTGTTATTCTTTATATACAGTGTATAGATAGTCTTACCATTGATGTCGCCGATACCATCTCCGTCACTATCCATGAAAGATCTGGGATATATTTGATAGAAAATAGCTGTTTCCCACCAATCTTGTTTGATGTTTACATTTTCGTATCTCCCTTGGACAGTTGTAACGATGACTACCAATATCCAAATATTCCACATTACTAAAAAATATATATTATATTAATTTATTATAAATTACGTATAAGATTATTCTTTATTTCTTTCCATTCGATAGTTTAAGAAAATAAGTCTAAGGTATGTATTTATGGGTCTAGTTTAAAATTCATTTAATTGTTTTATAATTAATTGTTTTAAAAGAAAACTAACGAAAAATATGAAAAAATTATAAAAATTACGTATTGGTAGGTACGTTGTTAACGTAATATTAAATCTATATATAATTTACCTAATTACAAAACATAGTAAAATTGACCATATGCCACATATGTTGCTATTCTTGAAAATAAAGTTATTAAGTTTGTACCTAGTAATTTTCAATATATTTACCAACGTCTAACTCTTTATAATTTTCTGCACCAGTGAACGCCGTAAAAAATGCAATAATACTGTAATTTTGTAACAAGACAGAGTCAACTGATGTTTTAAAAAATAATGAATGTTTGCCAATTGTATCACAAATTGTTATAAATGTTTAATGAATCTTGCAATAATATTTTGGTTTCTTTCCGGTATAGCCTCTAATAACAGGAACGGCTGGACGGTACGATTAAAATATATATATAAACGATATATTACACAAGTCAATGTCTAAAAATTTACTCCCTAAATTGGTATAAATACCGATTATTTCTATTGGTTTAATGTACTCACCCATCACTCAAATATTTAATGCCGGACTAAAACCACGATGCAATACCACGGTATTAAATAGTATTGCATTAAGAATATTTTAAAACATCGTTAATTTATTTACATTTGCTACAGACAAACTTCAATTGTGTCTTATATAATTTTTTAAATAACAATTGGAGTGTCACGGTAATGTTATTAAAAAAGAAGCAACCATTGTATGGGTATTGAGTCGTATCTAATTATTTAGACTAACAGCCTAACCCCTACTTCACAAGGGTGGATAATACATACTGGGTTATTATTAAAGTTTTAGTGGCTATCTCATTCTCATGCTTTAAGAATTTTATGAAATTGGTTCAGCAATTTTTGATTTATTCATTAGATACATACAAAAATACAAATCTTACTTCTTTATTTTATAATTTTAGTATATATGATGTGCGTATGTACTCGATCATACTAACTCTCGGTCTTAGTATTCTAGTGGTTTAGCACACAACATTTTTATTCATAAGTATGATATATAGTTGTCATAAATTTTGTTTTTTTTTTTATATATTATGTGTTTACGAGAATTCTTTAGTTATTAACAATAGTACAAGCTTTGCTTAGCTTGAGACTAGGTAGCGCTGTGTCAATTGTATTGAATTATTATCATTATTATTGTTAATTGATTAATCTATCGCCCAAAACCCTTATTTCCGAATTTCTGACAGTTTATTGACAAGTACATGTCCTAAAATGGTGTGAAATTAGACCTCGTCGTAGAATTTATTTATTCACAACGATTAGAGAGATTATTTTGTAATAAGTATACTAATGTAATTATTGCATATAATAATGATAAATTTCTTCTTTTCAGGTAAGCGACACTTCTTTACATTTCAACTCAGACAATTACATCTTCGTTTTAACTTGTAACTTAGTACGTACGTAAGTAATCACTGTATCGGTATAGAGTGTAAGAGGTATCTTTAGAAAATGTACTATTACTATGACTTAATTTATTTTTTTGTTCGATATCTTTTCCTGATTTTTAAACTTTCGCGTTTAATACACAGCTAGCTAGCTAGCGAATGCACCATATTCGAAATGATAAATAAAAGTATTCACGTCTCGTAAATAGGTACCTTTATTTATCATAAAATTATTCATGTTAATACTCGTTTAACTATATTAATAAATTGATATTTTTAATTATAATTTCAGGTCATTACTATTTTACACAATGTAATGACTCTTACCCATCACTTCATTTACTAGATTCATGCTGATATTATAAATATGAAAATGTGTCTATTACTTTTCATATCTAAATGGCTGATTTAATATTAATGAAATTTTCACATGAAGATAGATTATATCACGATGGAATGGGATATGTCTATAAATAAATACAATAAGCCTTTTTGTAGCAATTTATTCAATTTACATACCGTAAAAGGGACCACAAAATCATCTGTAACTTTGTTTTGAAATACATTTAATTTTTCTAATGGGTCTACAATATAAATTTTTAATATGTTTTGAATTACACTAACGCGAGCTGACTTCAAAGGACTCGTAGAATATTAAAGGAAAATGAAGGGAGTATCTTATGCATTATTAATCATTAGTTCCAAAAGGTTTAATAAAGGATTAGGTAGTAACATAGATTCCGTACCGAACATCAAAATAGAGCGACAGATGAAATTTGTGCTACTAAATAATTTCGTGTGTTATCATTAATGAATATTACTTAGAACTGTTTTTCCATGATTATTAGTATTAACAGTTATCTACCTCGATTTACATGTACTACCTTTTGATACAAAAGTCTTTGTCTGTCAATTTATAATACTCACTGTTTGTTGTTGTTATTTGTCTGACTTGTTATTATTGACAACTCATTTATTGACTTGTTGCATTATTATAATTATTTAAAATTCTTTATCTAAAACAGTGTTACGTAATAAATCATATCAAATCAAGCGTTAAGTTGTCTGGATGAAGTCTGTTTTATAGATAAGTCCACCTTTGCAAGCATTATCTCTAATTTATATTATTACTATATCTAAAAGTGTAATAAATAATATATAGAATTTTCAAAAATAAATCGGAAACTAACCTTGTTGAATCTATGCTCTTGGCCTCTCGATGGACTCGGTGTTCCAGCGCTATGGCACACCGCTTTATTTTCGATGGTCGCTCTTTCTGTTCCCCCATATTTACTAGCTGTTCCGGCAAACGTTGTTTTGCCATATAAATTAATAACGCTATAAAAAAATAGGGGTTGATGATAGAAGGGTGAAAATTTAGGATTGTATGTATTTTTGTATATTGTATCATAAAAGATAGAAACTAAAAATATTGTCTAAAAATAAATAAATAAAAATTTAGGGGTGTACTACCCCTAACATTTAGGGGGATGAAAAATAGATGGTGGCCAATTCTCAGACGTACTCAATACGCTCATAAAATTTCATGAGAATCGGTCAAGCCGTTTCGGAGGAGTATGGGAACGAAAACTGTGACACGAGAATTTTATATATAAGATGAGTACGATTGTTTGTTGTGGTTTGGTTATTTTCTATGTAGATTATCTTTGTATTTACAAAAAAAAAATTAAGTATCTAAGTATTAATGTAAGTGTAATAAACTACTGAGTGTATGAGTAATAAACTACTGAGTTTATTACTCATAACACAAGCTCTCTTTAATTTGGGATAAAAAACTGATAATATTGCAATTCCAACTTATAGCAACATAAAAATATACTAGATTCAGACAAACAAGTTTAAAGGCGATAAATAAGCGTTAGGTAGTAAAACTGATAGTTTCTGGATAAAAGGTGTAAGTTATACGCCACTGCCTCTAGCCATTGACACTTTGTAAAGAAGACTACCGACTGCAATGAATGGGGTTGAAAGATGAACATAAAAGTATTTTTATCTCGGAGGAATGTAGTGTATCTTATTAATATATAAATGTATATCACTATATTCTCTTCAATTTAACTTATACATGACTCTGTATTTTTATAATCATGCACAATCTTATTTAAAAGGAACTACTTGTCAGTTCTTTTTGGCTAAAAACTATATCCCGAACATACAGTGGATTTTAAATTAAATGGCCCTGGACAATTAACACAGCGCCATCTAGTCCCACGGTAAACAGAGCCTGTATTATGGGTACTAGACAACTAATACCAATACTTAGTTTTTTTTGGTAAATATATAGAATACACCCAGATCGATATAAACAATCATACACATGAATACAAATTTTTGCACAGTACAAGGAATCAAACCCGCGATAATCGAAATTAACCGGAGTTCTAAACCGCTAGACCACCGAAGCCGTCTTTTACTTAATATTAATGTCTGTTCCATATTAATGAAGATATTTTGATTGGATTTGATTTTGTAACAAATATATTATCATACTCTCACTCAGTAGCACAATTTGCATTAAAAAAATTACTTGAATAAAATTCACTTTGAAGTACAATAGGCACTGAAATCTCATTCAGTTTAGGCAGATCTCTTGCGTAAGATAAACACGAAATATAGTCGAATATAAAGCCTCAATTCTTATGCAATTGGTTGAAAACAAATCTGAAACTTCTACTTTCAGAATGTAAAAAAATACTTAGCGAGTTCAGCTTTTGGTAATGAGCATAGATCTGCGGTCGGAAAGAGCCCTTCATTCGTATATTATCTGTGGCCAAATTCTCTGTTATCCCCACCATTTTCTTTTCCTTATTCCCGTCTCGTCATTCAAGACAAATAGGCTTTCTCATTTGAATTGTAAATTGTGATGTCAATATTGCACGGTAAGTTACAACAAGACGTTGTTAAGGAGAAAAAAATCCCTTCAGAGTAAATATTATTTTAATAGGCAGTCACAAGTTTCTATAATGTATTGTTAAGAATCCAACTTTGTACATTATGCATGATTTATTATGAGAAGTAAAAATCTTGAAACTGACAAGTTATGCTACGATTTCTTGATTTTCATTATATATTTTTGCAAGGACATATTGACTATTTAATAATCTCAGATATATGAAAGGTATATTTAGATAATTATAAATATAAGGAGTTTTAATATAAATTATAATATTTTTTTCCTTCATTACACTCATTAGTTTTTAATTAACTGCTACAATATTAAATTCCTTAACTAAATTTATGCCAAAATTACTTTTAGTCTGGGATAGATAAAAATATCATTTTATACTAGAAATTAAAATCCTGGTAACTAATTTAATAATTAATTTTAAATAATTTAAAGTACAATATATTTATCTATATTTATTTGTGTATGTCACTTCGATCTAGCATTAGGTATTGAGGCCTATCACTCATGAAATGTACCTTTTTAATTATTCATAACTAGAATAAATTTATTATTATTAAAAAATCCTCGGTTAGCTATTCCTTAGCCGTTTATAGTAATGCATTACATTTCTATAAACATGGGTTCGATTCCTAAAATAAACTTTAGTATTTATGACTTATTTATGTGTATATGACGCTCTACTTAGTTTGGGACCCTATTATGTATGATTTGTCCATAAAAAATATCTGTACCATTTTGTCAATTTATATTTTTTCTATTTTATTTGGTGCCTACACAAAGCCTCATGTATTCAAATTCAGACTATACTCTATGTACCTACATTATGCACCAATACTTCTCAAGGTAAATATCAAAGCAAAACGATAAATATTTTG